CCTGCCTCTGCAAGGCCAACGTGACGGGCTGGAAGTGTGAGCGCTGCAAGGAAGGCTTCCACAGCCTCAGCGAGGGGGGCTGCAGGTGAGGAGGAGCCCAGGCAGGAGCAGTGGGATGGGACCAGGGCTCATCTCATCCCCTCATCTCACCCCATCCAGACCCTGCACCTGTGACCCCGCGGGCAGTGTGGGCACCTGTGACCCCAACACGGGGCATTGCACCTGCAAGGAGAGGGTGGAGGGGCACCTGTGCAACAGGTAAGCACCAGGGGATGGGGCTGGAACATCCCAACCCTTTCCAAGCTGGTGTCAATGCCAGGGCTTGGTGACCAGTGCAAGGCAGGCATCTTCCCTCCTGTGGGGCATTGCTGCTTCCCCAGCCCCTACACACCACCCATCACAGGGGCTCTGCAATTCCCGGGGGATTGCTGCCTGCAGAGGCCCTGGCTGGCTGGTGAGGCCATGGGGCTGCATCCCTCTGGACTACTTAGACTGGGCTCCCTCAGAACTGCCACCAGCATCCCCCTGGGATGCTGCTGTGGCCCCCAATGGCTCTGCCAGCCCCATGCCATGTACCCCTGTTTCCTCCCCATGCCCAGGTGCCAGCCAGGTTGGTTTAACCTGCAGCCTCACAACCCTGCTGGCTGCACCAGCTGCTTCTGCTATGGCCACTCCACTGCCTGCACGGCTGCAGGTGGCTACGAGGTGACACACATCAGCTCTGACTTCAGCCAAGGTACCAACCTCCTAGGTCTGGGTGAAATGGAGGGCACAGCTGTGCCAACTCCAGCCACAAAAATCCAGCAGTTTGGGAAATCTGGGGCTGAGCATCCCCTTTTGGGGCTGACTGGTGGTGATGGCTGAGGGTGATTTCTCTGGCTTGCTCCTGTTTTGCTGTTAAACTTCTGCTTTTGCCCCCAGCTCTGTGGGGACGAGGTGCCTCCATACCAACCTGCTTCTGGGGCTGTGCATGGCTCAGGGGGGGCTGCAGGGCCAGGCACAGCCATCTCACCACACCAGGGACTGCAGAAGCACTAACAGTCCGCTCAGAAAGATAAAACCAAAAAGAACAGAGCCTGGTGCGAACTTTCCCCCTTACTCCCTCCTCTCCCTTTCCTCGGCTGGGATTAGACAGGGCAGACAGGGCCCGGGGGAGCGGGTTGGGGTGCTCCAGCTCAGCTACAGTCAGGGCTGTGCGTGGCAGGGCTGGATGTGTGCGGGATGCTCGGGGAAACCCTGCCATCTGCCGCACAGCCCGACGCGTGCAGCCCCGGCTGCGGGCTCCCACCGTGGTCCCTGCCCACCAGGACCCCCCCTTTCCGTGTCCCACCGAGGTACAAGCACCCATGGCGGGCAGCCCGGCTCCCTGCCTTGCTTCTACCCCGGCGGGGGGCACACGCCAGCGAGCAGATGGATGCTGATGTGCCTGCCGGTTTATCCTGATTGCCTTTGAACCGCGCTGCAAAGCCCCTGTGCCGCTCTGTTTGTCTTCCGTGGCCTTGAAACGGAGCCAGGCTTTAAAGGGAGTCTTTTCCACCCTTCACGCAGCCAGTTTGGGGCTGATCCTTTAGGGAGAGGTTTGGCAGAGCCCTGGGCTGTGTTGCAAAAGGCTCAGCACAGCCACACACCTCCCTACAGCCCTGCTCCCCAAAACCTCTGATCCACAGCCGAGCTGGATCAACTTGGGCATTTCCTGTGCTGGGTGAAAGGGTCCCAGTTTGGGATCATTTGATAACCGAGCTGGGGAGGGATTTCCAAGTATTCATCCTGCAGGTGCCTGGGGCTGCAGGAAATAACTGGCCCTGGGGATGGGGGCAGGGGGAGGCAGTCGAGCTTCTTTCCAAAAGAAATCAATTTAATGCAATTACACCCTGTCACTCCCTGGGCTTCCTGTGTTCTCCAGCCCATGGTAATGTTGGAACCACAGCATATACAGGGGGGCAAAAGTTTAAAGATAATAATTTCCTCCATATCTAAGACAGTAAACAGATGGGGGAGCAGGCAGGGCCTCTCTCCAGCAATGAGAACACAGAGCTGGAGCAGAGCAGGGTGTTACAAAGCACCAGCCCCCTTAAGAAGACCCTGGAGAGTCTGAGGAAGAGGGACAGACCCCCCAAAAGCAGCACCCTGGTGGTGCAAGCTCGTGGGGACTCGTTGCTCCCTTCTCCTGCGCGCTGCCACCGTGTGCTGTCCGCAGGGCTGGAGGGCTGGGCTGCAGCAGCGCCGGGCACCGGGGACCTGCCCCTGCGCTGGGCTGCCGGGGAGATCATCACCGAGAGGCACGGGGAGGAGCCGGTGGATTTTATCGCACCAGGTATTGTGTGTGCCAGGTTCCTGGGGTCCTGGCTCTGTGGCCACCCTCTAGGAGGGTGACCGTGGATGCTTGGTGGGAATAGGACCATGCAGAGGCACATCTGTGTCCTACAGATTCAGCTTCTCTTTCCGCTCACAGAGAAGTTCCTGCAGGACCAGCGTCTCAGTTATGGGCAGCTCCTGTCTGTGCTGCTGGGAGTGGAAGGGAACGGGATGGGGAAGGAGACTGGGATGCCCCTGCTCCGTGTGCAGCTGGTGCTGGAGGGTGAGGGGATGGAGATCACCATGTCCAGCAGTGAGAGCCAACTCCAGCATGGAAAGCAGGCTGTCACATTCAGGTACCCATTGTGGCATTTTGGGGAGCCTTGGCTGGGTTTGAGACACGGTGTGTCTGACCTTCCCTGAGCCGCCAGAGTTCAGCCCTGCTCCCTTCAGGGATTTAACTGTGCTCCCAACACTGCACCCAGCCAAGCTGTCCTGTGGTGGGTGACTGTTAGGCTGGCCCTGTCCTACATCCCCTGCTCCTTCTCCAACAGGCTGCACGAGGCAGAGGAGGGTGTTGAGCCTTTGTTGTCAGCCTTCAGCTTCCAGCGCCTGCTCTCCAACCTGACTGCCCTTCACCTCCGTGTGAGCCACGGCCCTGTGCCAGGTGGGTGCCTCATGCAATGTCCCCATGGGGACCAAGCTGGGTTGGGGACATCAGGGCAGCATCAGGCTCTCAGGGATAAGAGGGCTTCCTGGGGCAGGGGCTGGCTTCTCTCTGTAAACAACCCTGGGCTCTTTAGGAGGTATTTTCTGCAGGGGTCTCCTGTGCCTATTTGGAGCATTTCCAGGCAAGATGGAGAGAGCAGGGCAATGCACCATCCCACCCTCACACTGCTCTCTTTTGCAGGCAGGCTGTCCCTGAGCCAGGTCCAGCTCACGTCGGCTCACCCTGGGCTGGGCTTGCAGGCAGGCTGGGTGGAGGAGTGCACGTGTCCCCCGGGCTACGCTGGGCAGTTCTGCCAGTCCTGTGCACCTGGCTTCAAGAGGGAGATCCCCTTCGGCAACCCCTTCAGCAGCTGTGTACCCTGCACCTGCAACCAGCACGGGGACTGTCACCCCCTCACAGGTGTGTACCCCCCAGGCCTGTTACTGACCCTGTCACGGCGTGCACGGGTGACAAATCTCTTTGTTTCTGCTTGTTTCTGAGGGATGAAGGAAACCATCCATGAGGTTGTGGTACCCAGAACTTGGAAGCTGGATTGCTTGGCTGGTCATAGGGACTGGGCTCATAACTGCAGACACAGAGATTATTAGTGAACTGCAAGAACTGTGGTAATTTATAATATGAGGGGCATCCTTCATAGTACTTTATGACCTTAAAGGAGGAGAAAGGCAGGGTGCTGGTCCTCAGAGGAGTAGGGAGGCAGGAGAGAGGCAGAGGGTTTTGCCACAATGGGTCTTAGAGGCTGCAACCCTGCCAGAGTTTTGGGGGAGGGCTGGGCACAGCCCTGGTGCCTGCAAACTGGGGTGAACCTGAGCAGAGAAACAGGTAAAACAGCAGGAAAATACAGCAGTGCTCAGGTGGTGAGAAGGCACCAGAGGACCCAGCTCTCATGCTGCCAGCCCAAGGCCTGCTCTGCCTCCAAGTCCAGCTCAGAGGTGCATGACTGCAGCAGGGACTGTGACTTGAAGGGAAGAAAAAGCAAGCCCCAAGTTTTCAGGGCAATGTGGCTGTGTCTGGGGTGGTTCACAGGGCGGAGTCTCTCCCCTCTCCTGCCAGGCAAAGTGTCTAGATGGTTTTTGCAGGGGATGGGGGGCAGGACTGCAAATCCAACCCCTGCCCAGCAGCTTGAGGCAGCTGTATGAATCCAGCAGCAGCCTGGCTGTCGGCCCAGGGAAGGGCAGGGCAGAGCAAAGCCATGTGGGGCTGCTGAGCTGCTGCCTCGCCCCCCCACCCTGCCCTGCAGAAAGCAGCAGTTCTGGTGGGTGCTGAGAAGAGCTTGGAAATGAGTTGGTGCTGTGGGTACCCAGACGGAGCCCCTGGGGCTCCTTGCTGCTGGCTTCCCTCAGCGAGGAGTGACAGCCGTGTGTGGCAGGGATGGAAAGGGCTGCAAGTGGCATTTTGCTCAGCAAGTGCCCCTGCCCTGCCGGCGGGAACACGGCAGGGGGAACTGCAGCCCCTGCAGACTCACCCTCAGCTCAGGGAGCTGGGGCTGGGGCCACAGACCACACAATCCCCAGGGATGGGGCCAAGCTTTTGATCTACCAGTCCAAGCCAGCCCACATGTTTCCTTTCATTTATTTTTCCACTCCTTCACGCTACCCACTTTTCCTTTCTTTTCCATCATCCGGCTTTGCCTGGATGTGGGGAAAATGGAAAAATACCCGTTCCCTCCTGTGCAACCTGCCTGGAATGACCCAACCCCACTAATCAAGGGGCAAAAAACCTCCTCCTCCTGGCTCCTGCTTTCCATCCAGTCAAGCAGAGCATCTGCCTGGAGGTGGGGGGGGGGCTCCCTGAGCATCCTTCCTCCTCCTCCTCCTCCCAGCTGATTTTGGAAGACCGTGACTCACCGGCTGGGCTCGCCAGGAGACGCTGTCTCCCCGCTGGGTGCCGGGTGGCTGCTTGTTTTCCATGACGAGCTGGAAACGAGGGGCCTCGTGGCTGGGATATGTGTTGTCCATTATCGCAGGCGCCAACAAAGTCGGTGCACGTCGGCGGTGCTGCCTGCCCGTGCCAGCGCTGCCTTGTCCCTGCGCCACTGGGGAGCACGGGACTGGTGCTGGGACCCCAACACCCTCTCCCAATCCTTCTCCCTTAAGCAAGGATGAAGAAGGGAGGGAAAATGTTCTGAGTCCTGGTTGGGGATGTGCAATCCCAGCCTGACCCTTGGCAGAGTTGTGCATCTCTCTCAGCACCCGCGGTGTTCCACACTTGGCTCCTCATCCCTCCTGCAGCTCCTGCTGGTACTCGGGGCTGGGTTTTTGCAGACCCTCAGCTCCACTCTCCTCCTTGCAGGGCACTGCCAGTGCTTGCACAACACAGAAGGTCCCTCCTGCGAGCGCTGCAGCCCCGGGTTTTATGGCAACCCCTTCACAGGACATTTTGATGACTGCAAGCCATGTCCCTGTCCCGGCCACTCGCCCTGCACCGAGATGCCCGGCAGTGGGGAGGTGGTCTGCACCCATTGCCCCCCAGGGCAGAGAGGTGAGGCTGAGTGTGGGTGGGCGAGGGGGCTGTGGGCAGTGCCAGCACAGCCAGACCCTTCCCGCTTCCTCATCTTACCCAGGAAAACGCTGCGAGCTGTGTGACGATGGGTTTTTCGGGGACCCCCTGGGGCAGAGGGGTCCCGTGCGTCCCTGCGTGCCCTGCCAGTGTCACGGGAACGTGGATCCCAACGCCGTGGGGAACTGTGACCCCGTGTCCGGCCGCTGCCTGCGCTGCCTTTACAACACCACAGGAGAGCACTGCGAGAGGTGTCAGCCGGGCTTCTATGGGGATGCCATGGCTCATGACCTTGCTGGGAAGTGTGCAGGTACCTACAAACCCCACGGACTGACCCTGCTCCTCCAGGTCCCACGGTGGCCAAAGCAGTGGAGGAAGAGGATGGCAAGGGGATGCCCAGTGTGTTCAGAGGCTGAGGGATGATTTGGGTTGCCCCCAAATGCTCATAAATGGCCTTTGGTCCCTTCCTTCACTGCCACCCTTCCCTGGAGATACCTTGGTCTGCAGGAACTCAGTCTCTCCAAGCCCGGTTTGATGGGGGGACGTGGCCCTCCACGCTGTGGAGGTGCCCCATTCCCACTGTCCCATCTGCCAGCCCCACGTTGGGATGCAAGCAGCATTTTGTCTCCTGTAGCTTGTGATTGCAACCCCGACGGCTCAGCCCCAGGGCTGGATGGCTGTGATCCCAGCACAGGCCAGTGTCACTGCCTCCCACACCTGAGGGGCAGAGCCTGTGGGCTCTGCCAGCCTGGCTACTACAACCTGCAACCTGCCGTGGGGTGCAAGAGGGAAGTGGGGGCAGAGAGAGGGGCTGGGAGGGGACAGCAGTCGCTCTGTGCCCCTGGCTCTGGTCTCTCTGCTCTTTGCACACATGGCTCACTCACCACGCTCCACCCCTTGGTCACAGCTGCCAGTGCCACCCCACGGGGTCACGGGAGAGTGTGTGTGATGCAGTGACAGGGCAGTGCTCCTGCCAGCCAGGTGTCACGGGGAAGCAATGCGACCGGTGCCAACACGGCTTCTTCGGCTTCTCTGCCCGGGGCTGCCGAGGTAACAGGGAGGGGACAGCACCTTGGTCCCAAAACCAGGACTGGCATCTGCCACCTGACAACTTTCTGCCTCCCTTGTAGCCTGCAACTGCTCCCCGCTCGGCTCCCTCACCCCGCAGTGCCATGAGAACAGCACCTGCCTCTGCCACCCCGGCTTCATGGGCTACAAGTGTGACCGGTGCCAGGCCAACTTCTTCCTGGACCCCCCGAGCTCCCGCTGCCAGCAGTGTCCTGCCTGCTATGGGCTGGTGAAGGATGAGGTACAGCCCATGCCCTCCAAGGTGGGTGCAGCACCCCGGCCTCTGTGCTGCCTCACTGTCCCCCTTGTGTCCCCCCACATCTCGCCTGCAGGCTGAGCGGCTGAAGACCAGGCTGCAGGAGATGGAGGAATGGCTGCAGAAACCAGGCTGTGATGCCCACCTGGGCCAGTCCACTATGCTGGGAGATGCACCCCGGGGAGATGGGCTGCCCAGCCCTCACCTCTTGCAAGGTACTGGGGACAGCCCTTCTCTCTACCATGTGGGGAGCCCCATGTCACCCCCATGGAGACCTTCTGCTCCCACAGCGTGCTGTGACGTGTCGGGTGGGTGCAAGGAGGTCTCAGGTCAGTGCTGGGCTCAGCACAGGTGATGGGGTGACTGGGAGGGGCAGGACAGCTGGGGGGGCCCATGCCTTTTTGTGTAGAATGGGGCACCATGGGAATGCTTGTGCCCATGAGGTTTTGAAGCGGGTGGTGGGCATTACCAGGGGCTGAGCATATGGGGAGCTCTTTGGGTGCTGCATCCCTGGGTCCCTCCTGAGCACTGAGGAGGGGCTGCCTTCCTCTTTCATTAGTAGGTAGGGGCTCAGTGTTTGGGCAAGGGGCAGCCCCACAGGCAAGCAGGGAGCCCTGAGCACCTCTGTGAGCAACAAGCAGCTGCTTGTGCTGCCTGCAGGTGCCCGGGCTGCCCTCTTGGTGCAGGTGGGGCAGCTGGCAGGGGCACTGGCCACTGCCCAGGGCCATCTCAGCAATGCCAGCTGGGCCACCGGCTGCTCCAGTCATGGGCCCCCCAAGACCTGTGTCCTGCTGTCGGAGATCAGGGCCGTGCTGCAGTCGACACAGCAGGAGATTCTGGATGCTGCAGACACCCTGACTACCATGGTGAGGGCTTCCACCAGCCCCAGGCTCCTGGTGGGGGCTGGTGGCCATGTTGGCCGGACAGTGGAATGTCCAGGACTGGTGGGGTGGGATGTGACCAGCACTGTGTGTGAGTGGGAAAGCCATGTGGGTATAGCCCTCCTTGCCACTGGGTAAAGAGGATCTATTTCCTTTGCTTGCTCCTGTTTCCCAACCTCCTCCAGCCCCTGGGGAGGTTCTCATTGATAACTGGGCTGTTGGGATCTGGGGGTTCTTGTTCCCCACCGGAATCTCATTGGTGCTGTTTGTGTTTCAAGGAGATTCCCCAGGAAATCCCTCAGCAACCCACGAACTGGAGCCGTCGGGCGCTGGAGGCACGGGTGCTGGCTGAGAGGTGTGAATTCCAGTCTGATCCCAGCATGCTCAGGCAGAGGAGTCTGCCTGCCCAGCTGGGGGTACAGGATGGCTGCTCCTGGCCCAGGAGGCTGGTCTTAACACCACCTCTCTGAGCGTCCTTGTCCCTGCAGCCACACAGATGCTGCAGCGCGGCTGG